GAGGAGGATGAGAGGGTGGGAAAAAAAGGGGGAGAGAAAGAGGCTGGTCAGGTTGTCACAAACCATTAGACAGACGGACTCGGGCTGCTCCTGCTCCATGTCAATGAGAGAGACCCTGATAAATATGCGCAGTGTGTGTGTGTGTGTGTTTCAGTTTGAAATCAGTGTGTTAGGATCGAGACTGAAGTCCTGTAGAGATGGTCTGCACTTTCAGCGTGACACAAAATCTACTAAATATTATTCCTCAGCCTGGGGGCCACTCTGTGCCACCCCTTAGAACTGCCACTGTTAGTGTGCACACTTAACACACACACTTAACACACAAACACACAACTGAAACTTTGAAGAGAAACTCACTTGGGATTGGAGCTGTTCCAGTAAACAGCGTGCCTGTCGAAGATGATCTTCTCCTCCGCCCACACGGACACCCAGGACAGGACGGTCAGCACCAGCACCTCCATCACACAGCTCGGTCCCAGCATCGCAGACATCCAAAGTGGGGGGGTGGGGGGTGGGGGGAGAAGGTGATTCCAACTGTAGAGAGACTCTTTTGTTGTTTGTTTCACTGCGTCGCTCCTGCTGCTGCAGATTCCGCTTTAGATCCTTAACGTGGCGTCTTTCCTGGGGGGTAGATCTGCGCACTGATCGTTCACTGCTTTGATGAGAGTTCCGAAGACCCCCCCTCTCCCCTCCGAGGGTCCTTCAAGTCATACTGGATGTTTCAGTTCACCTGTCAAACTTTGTCCGAAAAATGAAAAAATAAAATAAAAAATAAACCAGGAAGAAGGGGAGCAGTGAGTCACATGCTATTTACAGGCTCCGAAAGGTCCGAAACTTTTCTCTCATTACGCGCAGGGGATGCGCCACTCGGATTCCGCTCGTCCTCCAGAGGAATATGGCCGATTATAATCCAGGATTCATCCGAGGTTTGGGATTTTATCGGCGGTCATATTTGTTTGCCCAGATTTGGATCGACCCTGACGCTCGCCATGTTCCGCTCCTTTCGCAGCCAAAGTCTCCTCATTTGACCTTTTTTTTTTTTAAAAACAAATCTGGCGGATAGAAAAGCAGCTCACGCCAAAGCTCGCGCACATTTAGCCTATTTTTCCATCCAAACTTACAGCGAGCATCGCTCCTCAGCATCCCAACTTGGTGATCCCTCCGCCCGCCAGACGTGACTCGCTCTGTGCGCCTTCACGTGCGCGTCACGGTGACACCGGGCGCACGCGAGGGGGAGCCGCGGATGGCATTAATCCCAAACATGATCCCCCCGTGCTGCCTCCACCTATGGCGGCAACATCACTCACTGGCACCCTGATTCGGTGGAAGTAACCCTCGCTCCCCCACGCCCACCTCCTCATCCTCCCCCCATCTCGCGCTCGCTTTCCCTCTTCCAGCGCGGGAGGGGCTCTCTGGGGGGGCTGCTTCACTGCGATACGCAACCAAAACGCGCAAGAGTTAGTTTTATCGGTTGTAGTCCAAAGAATTATCATTTTTGTTTGTTTGTTTTGAGTCTGTATTTGTCTGTTAGCAAAATATCTTGTGAACTACCGGTCAGATTTGAATGAAACTCACAGAAAGGAATCATCAGTGATAGACAGGGGTGTCACTAGGTTTCAAGGACATGGGGGGCTTAGCCCCCAGGAGACACGCAGAATTTTTGTATATCACGTATACGTATTTATTG